ACGGAGTTGTCCTAAAAGCCTTAAGTGTTCTAAAATAACTTCTAATATTAGCCACAAACAGATTGATTTTCTAGACACCACAGTTTTTAAAGATACCAATTTTCATGAAACCAATCAATTAGATATTAAAAGTTTTTTTTAAGCCCACTGATACTCACCAACTTTTATTCAAATCATCTTTTCATCCTAAACATACCTTTTCTGGCATTATAAAGTCGCAGATCTTGAGATTTCACCGAATTTGTACGCGCAAGAAGGATTCGAGGAGGCTTGTTCAATTGTTTTCCAAAAATTGCGCGAACGTGGATATTCTAGAAGGTTCTTGAGAGGTATTAAAAGCTCAACAGTTGCTGAAATCTCTGCTAGAAATAAATCGATTCCTTTGCCAATACCAAATTCTTCAGTTTATCCTTGTAACAACCCTCGCTGTCAAACCTGTCCCTTCATTTTACCAACAAATTCTTTCCGAAATAGACGCACAGATTCCATATTTCAAGTAAATGAAAAACTCAACTACAACAGCAAAAATATTATTTATCTCATTTCTTGCACAAAATGTGACGAACAATACGTTGGGGAGACAAAAAATTCGTTAAGGGTCCGTTTCAACCATCATAAGTCTGACATCAACTTAAAAAAAATTCATAAAACCGTTTCAAAACACTTCAATCAACCCGATCACCAATTAACAGACCTGAAAATCATTCCCATTGAACAGATATACGAACAACCTGGCATTGATACAAAGAAAATTCGACTCATTCGCGAAAATTATTGGATAAACAAACTACAAACCATGCATCCTTTAGGAATGAACATCCAAGTTGATTTCCAAATTATACCTTTTGTTATTCAATACAACAACACAACTGGTCAAGTTCCCCGAATAATTATCCGTCTTTACAAAGAATTGCAGGAAAAATTTCCAACAGTCTTTACAAATGATTTAGTTATCGCCTATACCCGTAATAAAAATCTAAATGATATCTTAGTCCGTGGTAGATTACCCCCCATCCCCCTTCCATAGGTTTAGTACATTTCCTTTAATTAATAATTCTTATTTATGATAACTTGCAATTGAAGAGTTTCCTCGCAAAAATATCATACATGTATACTATTTTCACTTAATAAATTATATATATTTTTTATATGAAATACGCATTTTCCTTTTCATTTAATATAGGACAATTCCTCAGTTTCACCAGTAAAAATATTTATCATGATTTCCATGGTTATTAATGTTCCTGTTGGAACCAGTATTCCTCTTATATATTTCAGATTCGGAAGATAATGGATTTGCATTTCAAATATTCTATATCATTCTTTTAAACTAACTTCACAAACATTGCTCTATCACTAGAGGTTACGCCTACATACCTGTGCCTGTGCTTTCGTAACATTGCTTAACCGCAATATTACAACCTTAAATT